TGCATTATTAGTGAGCTCGCGACAAAAGAGCAAGCTTATTATAGCATTCGCCCGAGCATTTTTTTTCTTTCTTTCTTTCTTCTTTTTTTTTTTTTTTTTCTTTGATTCATTCTTCCGCGTCGACCGAGCATCGAGTCTGTTTCTGCAGCTACCAGCGACCTCTATCTACGGTCTCGAAAACAGTTTTTCAGGTTTAGGAGCGAGCTCGTGTCACGTTTCCCACGGCAACGGTGCAGCGCAAGTTGCATACATACGCACATGCAAGAAACTCACCGCCATAAAATGTTCTTTACGCATTTCGCAGTTCCCTCTTAGGCGAACGACGACGAAAGGGAGAGCTCCGCGTGCGAACGTTCATATTTTTCTATCGATCTGCCGCCGCCGCAGCAGCTCACTCTGGCTCGATCGAGCGGCGATTTATATTTATTTCACGTGGATCGACGCGTATTCGCGCGTCCCGCCGATTTTAACGACTCGGATGAACTTTTCGACTGTTCGCAGCCGCGAACTACATACACGCGAGACGACGTTTTCCCCGCATGGTTTTGAAATAATTGCGCAACGATTCGTTCGAGACGTACGCTTCGCGTACATCTGTAAGCGCTTGTTTTCCTCTGGCTGGAGTAACTATTTATGCAAATGAAAGTCTGAAATACAGATAGACGGATAATTCTCGGCACGGGGGCAATGGCGCAATCCGTCTCGTGGGGGCATCGAGAGTGATAAGTAATAAGAGGCGGGTTTTACGGTAGCCAAGGTTGCAACCAAACGAATTCAGTTGCACAATGGTACAACTCTCGGAAATCAGTTCACTGGCACGGTAGAAAGGTACACACGAGCGTTCGCGGCTGCGATTATTAGCTTTACCTTAACCAGTTACACTCGACCGCTGCACGACACACGGATATATCAAGGTTGCAGCGAACCTTCGCGCAGCTTCCATGTGTTTTGCAAAGCGACGACGGTTTTGACGTTTCCTCGTCTCGAAAGAATGCGTGGCTTGAATGCGCTCGCCGACAAGGCCGTTTAACAAGTCTGTTTCTTCATCGACGTTGCTTCGAAACAAAGCTCGGAACAAAGCTTGGAACGAATCGATTCGCGAAATGGATATATCGCAAATTTTGATTCATATTAAATTCTCAAATTCTAATCAAGTTACGTTCGGTGCCAGCAAACCAGAGCTTGTGAAAAATTCACAATGTAATATTTTTTTAGGACTTGTTATTAAAAATCCTTATGGCATTATGGATAAAGCAGAGACTACTATATACTCCTACTTCATAGAACGTTTACGTTAACCAACATTATTCGTACAACATTGTGTCACGCCTCGCGTATATCAATTATTCGGTCGTGGCGTTATTAACGGATTAGGCGCGGTTTACGCCAGTTTTCCGTTTATCGCTCGCGAATCTTGGAAAGTAACGGTCCGCGGCAACGGCTCCGAGGGTATCGAATCACGGTCCGCGAGATTTTACCGCTGGTCGCGGGTAATTTACGCGCACACCCGTCCAAACAAGAGAGTTTCGACATTGATGCGGCTCGCGGACGAGTTACGGGATAGATGGAAAATCAACGACGTGTAACATTTATATGGTATGTCCGAGACACAGTTGCAAAACCGCTTGGGAGGTTTCAGCGGCGAGAGCGAAGATGAATCGGCGCGATAACGATGGAGGTAAGGTGCTTCGATGGGTGAAGCGTGTAGTCCGCTGGATTGGAAGATTGAAAATAGCGAAATTTACATAAACTCAGTGTAGCATTTTGATTTTCCGTCGATAATTCCCATTGAAACAGCAGAGATTGACTATGTCTTGTTCCAGACTTTGACGTGCGAGATATCCTCGAATTTACAGCCTCGGCATTCTAGTATGCATAATCAGGGCCTTAAGTCTTTAGTATGCTTATTAACTCCTCTCTTTCCTTTCTTGAATCTTCGCTACGTGCCTTGCAAATGCAACGCGAGAAATTACGTCGTTGCCCGTCATAATTTATGGTAAGTAGGCGTCGACAGATTCTAGTCGATATCCCCTTGCGGCCGTGCGATTAACGTACGGCAACTATTTAATAAAGGTTTTTCGAGGCGCAGTTTAGGCTTATTTCCCAATTGATGCACTTGACGGATGATGCGTATGCAGTTAAATCGGCCAATCTATAGCGTTACTCAACCTGTTTTTAACAAGATATTTCCGTATTGTCGCGTTAGCGCACGCACACAACGTACGTAAAAGCGTCTCGACCCGCCCCTGTCTAGTCATGTCAGCGCTAAATGAACCATCAGGGCCGCCATAAATCCTCGGACTATCAGATGAGCAGCCACGGACTTGCCTGTCCCGGATATAACGAGGGACCACCGCCCAGCGTAATGGAAGCACTCTCTGTCGACGCTCGAAAGATACTTTCGAGATTGGACCGAGGCTTCTTGTCCCGCCACGGACGAGCCAGCTCCACCTGATCCGATCTAACGATATACGAGAGATTCTTCTAACAGACAGTTCCTCTAATTCCATCTAATTCCACTGGAAAATTACGCGGTTCCTCTGGAAAATTACCTCGAAAAATTTTTTCACCTACGTGTATAAACGAGTGACCAGAATTTGGAGGATTTCTTAGCCCGATCTTTGATTTCGATCACCGTTGCTGCTTCCTTTTAACGATACGGCTTTTAACCAATACGGTATGCGTGGCTGCGTTTAAAACGATCTTCAACGAAAATCTACCGAAGGAGCTCGACCAAGGTCGAACAAAGGCGGAGAACATTGTTAATTACACGGCCGTACCGGTATCGATGCCGCTCCCGTAGGATTAACCCGGCCGAGTGGCCAGCAGTAAAGATGGCATCGTACACACTAACGAGTAACAAGTGGCGTGACGTTTCAGTTAGGTTTTACTTTGCGATGTGCGCGAAAGACTAAGAAGAAGATAGCGGTACACCACGACCAGCTACCTATCGTCTCACCTTCGGGCTCTAATTAACGCCGAGATTCATTATCAACACCTTGTTGTACCGTCGGCCACTGTCTTAATTTAGGGTTCCATCTTTTTCCATCATTTTACTCCGCGCGTTCACCGCGCTCTCTCCTTTTAGGGGAACAAGTAAAATTAAACAAAATTGTCAAATGTTATTCCTCGATGTGATAATATTTCTCGATGTTCGTATATATGATCGGAAGGAGATCTATTTGTAGAAAAGTAGTTGCTTCGGAGACAGTGTTAAACGGGTCTCTAGAGCATGTGCTATCTGTACCATTATGCAAAACAGAAATTTGTTCGAGGCACGAGTAACAAATGGTCCTCCGTTCGAGCCATCATTTGTAAGGCATAGCTTAGTTTGCATGTATGCATCTGCAGGCAGCATTAAGTTAGTTACGCTTAAATGCAAATTGACGCGTTAATCGATCTGTTCCGACTTCGGAACTCTGTGTATAATGAATCTCCAAATGAGATCGAGCTCGCCGAAAAACTGTGTTATCGTTGCCTCGTAAAGGCAGTATCGGATGTATCGAACTTTCTCTCGAAAGAAACGAAAGCGTTTTTAATAGTATCGCGACCGATGAATTGAAATACAGTATTGTCGTGATTCCATTGAAGAGCTCCATCTATTAAAAAACTTTTATTTTGCATATTTCTCACGATTGTGTCGAATCAAATGCGTTGCAACGAATCGTTTCTCTCCAGACATGCCATTTAGACTATTACATTGTACACGAAACGATGAGAACACCCTGAGCGTCTATTCAACATTCTATGGCATAACAGTGAGCACCAGAAGATAGGTGTTCACCTGAGATTGATTCTAAAATGCCTTAGGCTGATTGAGACGAACTCGTCACAGTAGATTTGACTCGATCGTGACCAATGCTTCAGCGGTAGTAACTTTCAATTCTCATACCTATTTCTGATCAAAACGTTTCGATTGTTCGGATTGAATTTGTAACAGGATACAATCGAAGAATGATGAATGGGACAAATCAGACTATAATCAATTGACAGGTATCAACGAAATTATTATTCCCAAAACTATTGACGGAAGTTCACATTGATTGGGAAATTGAATAGCAAAAATTTGTTATATTGTTAAACAATGAAATTCGATGATTTGCGATTTAACTTATATAAAATTGTTTGTATATTATGTCAATATGTATAAGTCTTAAGTCTTACGATTATAGTCGATGTATAGATTGTGATAAATTAATAACACTAATTTTATAAATATAAGAAACATTTTTTCAAAAAATTAAATTTTTCTACATATTACATGAATAATATTAATAACAGTAAAATGAAATTTAATTAATACATAACTTTTCAAGGCAAATTTATTAAAACGATCCAACATTTTACAATAGTTCCAACTTATTCACTGATGAATTATCAGAAAATCTATCTTATTGAAAATAATATAGATTGAAAATTTATAAATTAATAGAAATTTTCTTTCAGCACATTTTCGTAATTCAAAAAGTACGCACGCGTTAAAATGGCGGCTATCGATTGAATATCGAACGACTCTCCAGAACGATGTATCGAATACGATCACAATTCTAAGCTACATTGCTCACTTAAAATTACGGCTTGGGTGTTGTGAGGTTTTATTCATCTATTTTCTTTTTCGACACGTGCAAGTTTTTATTTCGATAGATTAGAATAATTCAAGAAACAAAATAATGACTGATGATAAAACAGAATTTGTAAGTATTGCGTATTCTTGCGATAATGTACACCGAGGGAACATAACCTCACTTTTTACAGCACGCAGCAGTTTGATATGTACATTTTGTATAAGTATGTACTTATTCTTTTCTTACTTATAGGATTGGGGAAACGAGAAACTACAACGTGCCCAGAAAACAGTGGATGAATCTCCTTACGATTTGGAAGCATGGAGCATCCTTATCAGAGAAGCACAAAACAGACCTATTACAGAAGTAAGGCCAGTCTTTGAAAAACTTGTAACTGTGTTTCCTTCTGCGGGTCGATATTGGAAAATTTATATAGAACAAGAGGTAACATTATTAATTTTTATACATTTTCAATCAACTATATTTGTTAAATATTATCAATATAAATTATTATTATATTAGTATCTTTTTATCGTATAATATGAATGTAAAACAAAAAGTTAATTTTATGATTTTCATGACTATTTCAGATGAAAATGCGCAACTTTGAAAAGGTGGAAAAGGTATGTTAACAATAATTGTCTGAGTTTCAAAATTTAATGAAAGCACTTCATATATTGCCAAGTTTCTAGTTATATGTAACGTTAAAGTTGTTGTGTGAGACGACACAGTTTCTACTATATTGACTTTAAAATAAAACTATTGGTAGAACTTTTTTTTAAGTATAGATTCACAATATGCATGTTTGTTTTTAATCAAGAACAGTCATAAATTAAATAATCATATAAGATAATTTTTAATTGAACATTGGTATTTAAAAAAATTCTATTTTAGTTTTAATATAATATAATAAGGCTACATTTAATAATAGCAGGATATTATTAACCCATTGTGATCAAATATTATCATGTGATTCTAAGCACTTTTTTCATATTATATGGGGTGAATAAAAACAATATTTCACCATACACAAATATTTCATTGATTACAATTGATCTGTTGGTATATTTGGGAGGTTGTTTTCTTTGTTGAATGATATATAATATATTAAAGTGTATTTTGTGTGATAAACTTGATACTAATTCTAAACACAACAGTGCAAATCAACTTACGAAGGCAACTTCCTGAATGTAACAGCCTTGTATTCCTTCCTGCAATACATTTTTTAGTGTGCTTGGATTATGTTATTTGAAATAAAATGATACCCATACTACATGAAGTGTAGAAATCTTATTAAAAACATTATAAAATAAAAGAATATTATAAAAATATATTGAGCATTAAAATGATTGAATTACATTTGTGCAAAGTATATTTACCTTTTTGCACGTGAGAACAATATTAATGATACACATACTTGTTTCATTATTATGATTAACTCTGAGGCGATTAATATTTCTAGATATTATTTCATAAATATGCTTTGGGAATTACATCATTTTCCTTCCCCCAGCACAGTATTTGAGTATTCAAATATTGTGAAATTTTTACAGAGGTAGCATAAGGTGATGAATACATTGAAATATTAATTTATTTCATGATCCATGTCTGGAACAGGATAATAGTTTTCCTATTTTAAGTTTTGTCACCCTATGTTGCTTCAAATTGTCTAAATTTTTTTATGATGTTTTGGGATCATTCATTTCTAGATCCCACATAGGTCAATTATATTATTAACCCCAATTAAAACAAATAAGAAAATAAATAAAGTTTTTACTCAATGGGGTTTATTTTATGTTACCTTTATAATCTCATATCTGGAAAATTCCTCCTTAATTATTTTCCAATGAAAACATGTTTAATCAATAAACCATTCTCAATTGATGCACTGGTGCATTATTATTTCTCCCATTACGTACAAAAATATTGTTGTAGTAGTGATTGTATTAAAGATTTGCTTAATAAATTATTGAATTATTACTTCCTGATATTTTGATGTGATTCTTATTGATTTTATTGATAATGTTTAAATATGTGTTTAAAAAAGACTTGCCTATAAGGGTAAGTAAGGTGGTAGATATGTAATGTTTTGTGCAACCACATTTAAATGAGCTTCACACGTATGTTATTTATACTATTCTTTTTTTTTTAATATTGTTTCTAAAATGTTTTAATATTGTTTCTAATTTGTTTTCTCTAACAGCTCTTCCAAAGGTGCCTTATGAAAATCTTAAATATTGAATTGTGGAAGCTCTACCTTTCATATGTGAAAGAAACAAAAGCCAGTCTTGCAACATACAAGTAAGTATTTATATATTTAAGTATATTTTTATTAATTGCACCAAGATTTATTACATGGTTTATTTATAGGGAAAAAATGGCACAAGCCTACGATTTTGCACTAGATAAAATTGGCATGGATATACATTCCTACAGTATATGGAATGACTATGTTACATTTCTCAAAAGCGTTGAAGCTGTTGGTTCATATGCTGAGAATCAGAAAATCAGTGCAGTAAGAAAGGTAATGAATTATGCATTCTTATTGGATTATACGTTATCTAAACTAATTTTTTTTTTTATATTGGTATTATTAATTGTAGGTATATCAACGGGGTGTTATTAATCCTATGATAAATATGGAACAATTATGGAAAGATTATATGGCATTTGAGCAAAATATTAATCCAATAATTGCAGAAAAAATGGCTATTGAACGTTCCAGAGATTACATGAACGCAAGAAGAGTTGCTAAAGAATTAGAAGCTGTAACAAGAGGATTGAATCGAAGTGCTCCTAGTGTACCACCAACAGGTCATCCAGAAGAAGTTAAACAGGTAACTAACTGGTTTGTAAATATCATGCTATAAATGTTTGATTATAAAAAAAATTATATTACTGTGTTAGGTTGAATTGTGGAAGAAGTATATTGCATGGGAACGCAGTAATCCGTTAAGAACGGAAGATACTTCTCTAGTTGCCCGCCGAGTAATGTTTGCTATAGAACAATGTTTATTATGTTTGGGCCATCATCCTGCAGTGTGGCATCAAGCTGCACATTTTTTAGAACTTAGTTCAAAAATATTAACAGAGAAAGGTGATGTAAATGCTGCGAAAAATTTAAGTGATGAAGCTGCAACAATGTTTGAAAGAGCAACAAGTACATTGTTATCCAAGAATATGTTATTGTATTTTGCACATGCAGATTTTGAAGAAGGACGAGTAAAATATGAAAAAGTTCATCAAATATATCAAAAGTTCCTTGACATACCTGATATTGATCCTACATTAGTTAGTATTTATTATTAATATTAAATATTTTGTTTGATGGTTTGAGTACTGTTAAATTCGATGTTATTTTATAGGCATATGTACAATACATGAAATTCGCGAGACGTGCTGAAGGTATAAAATCGGCTAGAACGGTGTTCAAAAGAGCTCGTGAAGACCCTAGATGTAAACATCATGTATACGTTGCTGCTGCTTTAATGGAATATTACTGTACCAAGGATAAAAATATTGCTTTTCGGATATTCGAACTAGGTTTAAAGAAATTTGGGGATAATCCTGATTATATACTTTGTTATATTGACTATCTATCGCATTTGAACGGTAAGATTAATCTTTAAGATACACATTTACTTGTATTTTACGTATCTCAAATTTAATTATTATTGCATTTAAATGTTTCAGAGGACAATAATACAAGAGTTTTATTTGAGAGAGTTTTATCATCTGGTAGTTTAGAACCTGAAAAATCAGTGTATGTGATATATTTATTTATTTGCTTAAAATATTCATAAATACTCATATATTAATATTTTTATACTTAAGATTATCTAATATTTATCCTATATCTGATGTTACTTTTAGCGACATATGGAACCGATTTTTAGAATTTGAATCTAATATTGGAGATCTAGCTAGCATTGTTAAAGTTGAGAAACGACGTAGCGCCGTGTTAGAAAAGGTACGATTGACTTGTTTATAAGATATTTCATTTCCATTTAATATTTTTTGTAGCTTATATAGTTTTGAATTTTTATTTCTTTTAGATCAAAGAATTTGAGGGCAAAGAAACGGCACAATTAGTAGATAGATATAAATTCTTGGATCTGTATCCATGTACTCCAATGGAATTACGATCTATCGGATATATGGAAGTGTCGAGTGTTGGAAGAAGTACAGCTGGTGCATTACCGCGAATACCAGATCCAGAAGAAGCTATAGCATCATTGCCAAGACCCGACATATCACAAATGATACCTTATAAACCAAAAGTAAATCCATTACCTGGAGAGCACCCAGTTTCAGGTAAGTTTCTTTGTTAAAGTATACTATATTTGTTATCGTTTATAATAAAATATATATATTCTTTATAGGTGGTTCCTTTCCGTTACCGCCGGCTGCAGCACAACTTTGTACGATGCTACCACCACCTGGATGTTTCAGAGGACCATTTGTGGCTGTTGATTTGCTTATGGATGTTTTCAACCGAATACAGTTACCAGATCATGGTAAGATTATGAAATGAAAATGTGCGAAGTAAAATAACAACAACATATGGAATCTTGATTGTAAAAGAAAGTTTTTTTTTTTTTCATATAGCTCCATTACCAGTAGCGGATAATGGATGCGATACAAAATTGTTCGATCTAGCAAAATCTGTACATTGGATCGTTGATGAAAGTAACGATGGAGTTAGTATTGGATCTAAACGTAGAAGATCGCGCCTGGGAAATGATGATAGCGAAGAAGAAGATTTACCACCACCACCGGCAAATGACATATATCGCCAAAGACAACAAAAACGAGTCAAGTGAATAATAAAAAAAAAAAAAAAAAATATATTCATCAGAGTTACGTATCATCTCCATATATTTTGGAGAAAATTGATACCTGTTATTATATATTTTTACATTTTCTGTTTGCTCTGATAGGGATTAACCTAAAAGAACAAACCTATTATAATTGAAAAGCGTACGTTACGTATATATAAACAATTACGAGATTTCTTATGTGACACTGTGCACGATACTTCGAGTACTATGTACTCAGAAATCCTATATTTAAACTGTTAGTTTCAGTTTTGTTCAGATGTGTTCATTTACAATTAATTAAGACAGGAGGACAAAAATGGAAACGTCCAATAGATTCAGCTTGATTATATTGTTACCTACGTCATTGTGTATTATGAATTTGGCACAAATATAAGATTGAATTTTTACACCAGAGTTAATGATGATTTATATTTGAATATAGATGAAATATTTCTCTTATAGAAAATAATTACTATTCAATTATTTTAGAGTGAAGATAACGGGTGCAGCGTTCATGACTATGTCGGAATGAATTAATTCGAATTACGTGTGATATTAATTGGAACAATTGTTCTACGTGAAAATGTGGTATATAAAATATATGAATGGAGGAAAGGCAATTTATTATCCTTAGGTATAAAATAATTTAGTTTTATCGTATAATATCGAATCAAATGTATTCGAAAAAATAGTTTTTTTTTCATTTCATTTTTTATTTTAATATTTGTATTTATTATAAACTTTGCATATTTTTCTAAATGACCAACTATTAATGTGTTCCATCTATTAATTTACTTTCTAGCATTTGATAAATAAAATATCTGCGGAAAACTATTTATCCGAGTACGCTCGTCCCATGCTGTATTGTTAAATTGATTTGTATAATTGATGTACAGAATCAATAAATTATCGCAACTTCATTGTGATTTTTATTTCACAAATATTTCTATTTGTTCTCCTCGAAAAATGAGCGCTATGATGTGCTAGTGGAGTAGCGTATGTCATCAGAGTTTTAGTCAGCAGGTGTAACTACTCAATGAAGGCGCAATTAAACTTTGGCCGCTAACGCTATTTCGAGAGAGTGTTAATGGTTCTCTTAGGAAATAGTAAGTTGAGCTATTTACTACGAAAATAGTTATTCTCTGAGACTGGAATTGTTGCACATACAGTAACGTTTGTGCCGTTGATGTTAAAATATAATACAATTTAAATCACTTAAGCTAAGAAACACTAAAAAAAAAAATCTAATTGTTTATGATATAACTTAGTATCTTTAATTAAACAAATGGTACCACTTCTCAATCTGTCGCTAGAACTATACCAACTGTGTACAGTAGAAGCTGCGGAATCTGGTGGAATCTCTATTACACGGGCATAAATCCTTGTACGTTTAATGCGTAATTGTGGCATAGTTCCATGTCTATCTATCTTAGACGAAGATACCTGGCATTTGTACGCTTCTCAAATTGGTTAAACAAGAGACATTCCTTCCGAGTGACTAAGCTACATTTTGTACAAGGATATTGATATTACTGGACATATTTTGCATGCTCTGTATACTGCAGTGATTCTCAACACCTTCCGACAACACTAGAATTATTATTGTGAGATACCGGTAAAAGCTATTAATAAAATAAACTTGCGTTAGAAAGAAAAACCAGTTCGTCTCGTGTAAAAAGCGTAAAATCAAATTAACAAATTATTTTCTTTTCACCGCGATAGTTGAATTGCATCTCTTCGAAAGTCTTCTAATGTCGTAGTAATTCCGCGTAAAATGGGAATTTTACTCGTAGAGATTCTCACAGCCACCTGAACCTATGGATCCAGGTGTTTCCGCACCCATTCAATAACACGCCGTCGCGCCATTTAAATGTCTAATGTGTCGCCATTTCGTATTCTAAAACCTTTTTCTTGCTTCAACAGAAAGGGATTTCGGTTCGCAGAAAAAGAGTTGATTTTATAATCTGTAACTTTCACACATATTAAGAAGAATTTCCACTTTTTCAATTATTTCCTTTCCATGAACATCAACGAGAAGCGAAAGTTGAAGTAAAACTGCTGTTGGGCCCGATTTTTGCAATATTGTGCAACGCGTGGTCTTTACTTTAGCTGTGGAATCATCAAGTATTAATTATGCGAAATATATATCCTCGATACGTTATGATGCAGTTTAATTAGAATCATTTGAATGCAATTTTCCGTATCATGTGTTGCCAGAACGCGTTGCTGCATTTGCTTTTATACGCTACATCGTATTATGCTAACGGCTTCTTAACGAACCACATGCGTTGCACAAAGTACAATAGTACGGCGCAGCTTGTCTTGTTTCTACATTGATTAATGTACCTGCCATCAGTTCATAGTTGTAACTTGTGATTACGTAGTAGAAATAGAAACCATGAAGGGAAATGAAACAATGCGAAGTATCTGTGTAATCTATTATGTGGCATGCAGAAACATTTCCGAGATACTCTGAAACTTGTCAAAATTTTGTCCAAAACTTGGCAGATTAGAGCAACGTGTACCTGCATTAAATCAATTTAATGATGAATTTCAGAATATGAGTACAAGACTGAGATGCCATGTTATCTATCAATTAAAAAATTCACATCATGAAATGGGCAATTAAGTGAGTATGAAAGGGAGAACTGAATTCACCTGAGATTTAACTAGAGATTTCTTCAATTAAAAAATTCGTATCATTTGCTTTCGATGGGAACGAGTATCATTGACAAACGTACGAAAGGAAGAAATTCACCCGAGATTCAACTAGAGATTCCTCCAGATACTTAATAAAATTATCAAAGCAAGAGAAATTAATCGAAACTGTATTGCAAAAATAGAGAAGAGCGATAGTAATATTTGAAACAGCACTTAATTACAAAGGATGTTTATAACCTTTGATTTAGCTAGCAACTCTACGAATGTCCTGTGCAGTTGCATATATCAAAATATGATTGGTTCGAGTATGTCCAGGAATCAAACGTAAAGTTACAGTCTTCGACCTTTAATTCGTAATTTACAATTTTCAATTTTTGATTATTAATTGTTAACTTTCAACTTTTAACCATCAAATTTCAATTGCAATAGTAACTATATATATATATATATTCTTTTTTAAATAATTACAATATATTCACATTGTTCTTAACACGTACATAAATACGTAAACTGCCATTCGGATCGTTTTACTAGCGAACTATCGAAACATAGATTCCACCAGACATCGCACGAGGTTAACGAAGATTTTACAAACTACCTTCACCATTAATTCCTACAACGAGAAAATTTAGGAAGGCGTTCTCTGGTAACCGCCTGGGACGCAACTTGGAGAGCTCTTTGAAACTTTGGTTCTATCTCGGAGGAAGACAAATGACAAGAGCCGAAAGGAGCTCCTGAAACTGGTAGTTGGCCTTTCATAGAACGCAAACGCATAATTCTCCCACTTCGGCGAGACGGAGCTATCCTCAGATAGCGTGTAAGAGTAATTTCTTCGGCAAATCGATGAAAAAAGTAGAAAGAGTCACGTGTTTGGCCCACGAATATCTCTCTCTACTTAGTCGGCGAATAAATCAGCAAGCTCCGCTTCGAGCGAATGATTTTCAGTTGCATCGATGAAGAAAAGCAAAGTGAAAACGTCCAAAAGGAAAACACGTTTGCCAGAGTCGTTAAAATCGCAATCGGTAAAGTTACGCGAATAATAATTTAGCGACGATGCGAAATTCGAAACAAAAAACAGAAAAAGAAGAAACATAACGTGTGAAAGATAACTAACTAAAAACTAAAATTTGCTTCACAGCGAGTAGCACCGTTATCCAACTTGTCTGCTTTAAAAACGTTTCGCGTGTGTAATACTGAGGTAATAAGCGAACCGATCGAAACGTGGGCAATGTCGGTTACGATTGTAATTGGGTGACAGCTGAAACCATTGCACGGAAGAAATTGTATCGAATTTCACTCGTTTACGCTATCTGTGCTGTCCGCCTCGTCACGCGTGGATTTATAGATACGTCCGAATGGCATCGGAAGCGATAATAAACCTCCCCCGCGACTATATTAGAAGCTTTATCGGAGATCTGATTCAATAGCACTCGTCATCCGGGACCCGACATCGTTATCTTCACAATAGGTATCTCAACTATGCCCGTTTCTCGCGATAATGGTGTTTTCTAAGGCGAACGGTTTGCGGCTGCGGATCCTCCTCGAGCCAATCCTTCTCTAACGATGCGATGCCTCAATTTACTTTAAGGAAATATGCTTAAACAAGACTATGACGGGTGAATGTAACCGCGAACAACGGCTTCTCTTCTCCTGTGTCTTCCTTCGTGATCTCTATATACAGGGTGTTTCGTAACTTGTGGGACCCACTTTGGTAGCTGATTGTACGCCTAAAAACAATGGAAAAAAGTCATATAAATATATGTCCTATCTGTTTTCGTTTATGAGATATGACGAATTTTCTGTTTTAATTACTTTTACAAAAGACGCTCGAAATGACCAGCTTGCATTTGAAGACAAGTTTGCACGCGTCCTTGATCTGGTTACTCTCTATCATTCCTGGTGTTTCTCGAATTTGTCGGAAGCCTTGCTCTATTCTATTTCGTAGTATTTCAGCATTTTCAATCGATGTTGCGTATACAATAGATTTTAAATGTCCCCACAAATGAAAATCTAATGGA